AATAAATATTAATGAGTATAAGAAATATACTTCGGTTCTTGGCATCCAGCATCTAAAACCTTTGGAATCTCTGTGGTGAAGATTGTCTTTTGTGTGCTAGCGAGATGACTGTGGCTTCCTAGATGGCTTCAGGAAGGGGGCTGCTTGTCAGAAAAACCAAGGCATAACTTTAAGCCCCAACCCCTGACCTCGATGAAGCGGGGAGGGCCGAAGATTAAGTTATTTACTAATGGTCAGTGACACAGTCAATCACGCCTACTTAATGAAACCTCCATAAAAACTCCTCAATGACTGGGTTCAGAGAGCCTCCTAGTTGGTGAGCACATGGAGGTACTGGAGGGCGACAGGCTCTGCACCCCACCCCCATACCACACCCGCCCTACCCAGCTCTTCTGTTTGGCTGTTCTGGAGTTTGAGCTCTTTATAGTAAACTGGTAATAGTAAGTAAAGCACACTCTTGAGTTTTGTGAGCCATTCTAGTGAATTATTTATTGAGCCTGGGGAGGGGCTCATGGGAACTCCTGATTTATAGCCAGTTGGTCAGAAGTACAGGTGGCAACCTGAGCCTTGTGACCGGTGTCTGCAGTCGGGGCAGTCTTGTGAAATCAAACCCTACCCCAACGGAGTCTGAGCCTTTCCCTGGGTAGTCAGTGTCAGAATTGAACTGACGTGAAGGGCACCCGGTTGGTGTCTAGAGAATTGGAGATGTTGTTGGTGTTGGGACAAATACCATGCAGCTGTCATCTGGGAAGAAGTGTGGCCCTGGGAACGTAGAGGAGGGGACCTTACTGGGCACCGGGATGGTCAGAGAAGGGTTTCTGGAGTTGATTAAATGGAGACCTAAGACTGGCCAGTCAAAACGGGGAGGAGAGGGTTACAAAGACATGATTCTAGACAGATGGCAAATCACATGTCAAGGTCAGGAGGTGAGTGTCTCATTGTAAATGTAAGTTGTAAGTTGACCTTCTGGGTCTGACGCCTCGTTCTCTTATGAGTTGGATTAGTGTGAGTCAGTCCTGACTCAGTGACAAAGTGGATTCTCCCAGCCTACACGTCGGAGGATGAGATCGGGGAACACCACGGTCCCACCGAAGCAGTGACAGCAACCCATGTGCCAAACAGACCTGCCCAGACAATCGTCCTGCCTTTTTTAAATTTTTTTTTTGCAAAATTATTCAAACTTCAGTGAAAGTTCTTAAATAGTTTTGGTTGGCAAGTTTATTCACAGCAAGTAACTGAAGATGGGCTCAATGTTGTTTTAAAATAGGGTTTTCTTTTAAAAACTGACTCTCCATGGTATCAGAAATGGCCCAGCAAGGGTATACAGTGGTGGGACACGTACCCCACCCAAATGACGACCTTGACTTTCCACGCATTTGCTGTTTGCTTTTGAATGAGCATTCCACATCCGTGCTTACTCGTTTCCAGTCCTAGTACCAACTTCGACCTACATCCCAGAGACGACCTGTGTAACAGCTGGATCTGGTCCCATCAAGCCTTGCCAACAGCTGGCAGCCCGCTTTTATAAGGAAGCTTCTGGCGCTGTGTCCAAGATAATCCAATATATGTAAATGCACCATGAACCAGGCCCCTGACTCTACCATAGAACCAGTAAGTCTATGAACGCACATTCAAACACGCACCCCTGGCATCTGCAATTAGTTTGCACGAGTCGTGTTTTTTGTGAGTGCTTGGTGGGCTCCACTGACTTGTTCACTTATTAGTGACAGGGAACACTTACTGAGCGCTCGCTACGTGCGAGGCGCTGTTCTAAGTGCTTTATGTGAATGAATTCGTTTAGTCCTCGTAATGGCCCATTAACTGGATGTTGTATTGTCCCCCAAGTTCACACGGGTAGGTAGTGGAGACGCCTACACTCCCACATTTTCTGCTGCCTTTCTGCTCCGTCAATGCCAGATTGTTCCTAGAAACTCTATTCCCTCAGAGCATTTCCTGCGGTGTCTGGCGCTTAGCGTGTCTCTGCCTGTCTGATATACGTATGAGAGCTCTCCAAAGATGTCCCATTCCAGTTCATGGCCTCCTTGTGACATGAACAAAGTGTAGCCATTGAAACAGTCGTAAAGAGACGTCAACACCCCCCCAACTGAGAGCAATGCAGAGTCATCGGACTTCTCTGTGATGCCATTACTGACAGAACCTGGTGGTGTCTTCCCAGCCCTAACTTCTGTTTTAAACATTTATTGGAAAAGTTTGCTGGTAAGTCAAGAAAGTAACCGTTAGATTTTTAAATGATGATTTGCTTTATAGAGCCCTTTCGAGGGTTGCTAGCATTTAAGAAGCTGCCTTATTTTAAGAAGAAAGACAACCTGGGTTAATCTGGAGCTGAGAACAGAGATAAAAATGGCCACCGCCTCGCTTTTAGGGCCAAGCACAGTAAGGCCCAGGCGCGAGGGTCCGGGTGTGCCTCCCACACCTTCTGCAGCTACTGAAAATACATCTTCAAAGACGGACTCAAAGCTCTTTTGATGCTTTTATTGACAATGTGACTACAATATTAAGCTTAGTTGTCAAGTACTTCTTTACACATTTCAGAGAAAAATAAAGATTCTTGTGCAAAGACTTGATTTTTATTCTTTGGAGATGTTCACATTTCGTTATATCGTTCATGCTCAGACATGTTCGTTTACAGTGGTTTGTGATTCACATTCTTTTACAGAGGCTGTGTTTTTTTTTGTTTTTAATTAAAATTTGTTTAAAGAATCGACATTCTATTCTGGAAAGGAGCAGAGACCTAGGGACTTTGATGGCACCCGAAAGCCCAGGAGCAAACCCGTTGGCCACGGCAGACGGGCGTCATGGCGGCACCCGCAAGCCCAGAAGCTTTGGAGGAGGCGAACCTCCGCGTGCTCCATGAGGGTCAGGGGGAGCCGTCTGATTTGTCACATCGGGTCAGCGCGAGGAGCTGCTTGCTCCTCACTGGGCTTGTCGGGAACGTAAGTCAGGCCCCGAGTGGCTCCTGACTGAGCAGCAACGCCGGCCGCTGGGACGTGCGGGCTCAGGCCTGGTGACCGTCCTCTTTCTCACGCTCACACCTTGGCTCTCTGTCGCCTCTGCCAGGGGGCGACGTCGCACCGAGGGAAGCCGGATGAGGCTGTCGATGCCGATGTGGCTGCCACTCGTCACCCTGTCCCAGGTGTGGCAGGAAGGGCTGTCCCTGGATGGATGATGAGGGTGAGAGGGGCGGAGGTTCTCGGGAAATTGTCTGAGGTCACCCCCTCTTTCCCCTCAGCAAGGATTCCTGATGCTACGTCTACAAAGAGAAGCCCTGCCACCGATTTCATAATTTCCAGGGTCCCCAGATCCAAAAGGGACCCCACGTGCTAGTGACCTCATCTGCCCTCAGTTATGGTCACCATCTTCTGAGAAGACAATGAGGACGAAAGACAGTGGTTATAATGAGGCTTGCTGTATTTGGTGTAAATACATCTTTTTGATGTGCTGAAAATGCCTCAAAAAAAAAAAAAGATGCCAATTTGGTCAACACTGCAATTCAGTCCGCGTGAACATGAGAAAGTGCTCTGGTGTGAGTTTGCCACCCTCGGGGAAAGTATGTCCCCGGAGCAGTCCCCAGATTACAGACTGGGGACACAGCATGACTAAGCAGAAGGAGCAGAAACCCTTCTGACAGAGAGTCAGGCACGGTTTCATTTTGATAGTCCTGGAAATGCTCCTTTTTGAAAAAAAATCTGTTTTAATAACCTGCACTCTTGTTAACACTGAGAGTCATTATGAAATCATTTCTAAAAATGTCTCCTTTATAGGCACTTTGTCCATTAAGTTTACAGTGAAGCCACATCTATTAGCTTATTGCCCAAGCTGCAAAATCAACGTTTAACATCCAATGATAGATCTGGTACTATTTTCTGAAAAGCAATTTCTTTCTAAACTTGCAATAACTAAGCGGAATGAAAGCACATCGCGTTTTGATTTCTTCCCTGCGATTTAAACATTCGACATTCGCATTAGCTCTCCGACTTTCTCACTTAATCGACACGCCGATTGGTGCGCAGCGTGTTTTCATCGGTGCCGTGTGTACAGACAGAAGTCTTCAGGACGAACACATAGTTCTGCCTCTCGCTTGCGGCTCCTTGGCCATCGGCGCTCTCTGTAGCTGAGAGCACTGCTCTGAGAGCCACGACTGGAGCTCGGAGGAGCCACGGCCTCGGTCTCTCGGAACCCACCAGTCCCTGCCGTCCCTCGGGACTGGTTTCGCCGCAGCCACGGCTTCTTCTCAACGTTTGCCGGAGGCAAAATGCAGGAAATTAAACCTGAGAAATCTCCATGGACTTAGGCCTGGAATCCATCAAGAATGACCATCCCTGCAAAGGACAGAATGGCACGCTCTTCGCGCTCCATCTGCGGATTGCTGAGGCCCGAGCCTGCTCCGCGCTGGGCTCACAGACAGCTCTGCCTTTTTTTTTTTTTTTTTTTAAATAGGGTCACAAGGAAAGGGATCCTTGTAACTGTTTTTGTGATTTTGGAAAGAACTTGAGGTGTGTGCGCACGCATGTGTGCACGTGTGTGTGCATGTTTGTGAGTGCCTACACACGTGTGTGCTTGCGCATGTGCATGTATGTGTACACATGTGCACGTGTGCATATGCACGTGTGTGTTTGTGTGCACGAGTGTATTGTGTGCATGCGCATGTGTGCGCTTGCACGTGCATGCATGTGTGTGCTTGCGTGCACATGTGTGCATGCGTGTGCGTGTGTGCATGCGTGTGTGTGCATGTATGTGTGTGCATTTGAGTGTATGTGTGCATGCGCATGCATGCACTTGCACATGCATGCATGTGCGTGCGTGTGCTTGCGCGCACATGTGTGCATGTGTGCATGCTTGTGTGTGCATGTGTGCATTCGTGTGTATGAGTGTGCATGTGTGTGTGCGCGTGTGTGTTTGGGGGGAAGGAAGCGGGGCAGACAACAGCAGGACTCCGGTTGCAAGCTCGTCGGCGTGGACGCCCCGTCGTGGCCCGGCAGCTACACGTCGAACCAGTGGGCCCCCATGCAGGAGCGGTTCCACTCACAGCCACAGTTCCAACACCACTCGAGCTGGCACTGGGGCTGCGGGCACTTCATGTGCATGCACCCTCCTGTGGGCAGAGGACACAGGCAAAACGCTGGAAAACACTCGTCCCCGCACCAACGCGCTGTCCCAGAAACGACTCGCTAAGGGAACCATCCCGAGTAAGCCAACAGTGGCATCTGAGCGGAGGAAAGCCACCCAGAAAGCACTAGGAAGTTTTAAAGTGTGGCCTTCATTAAGAAGTGCCACCTCCACCGAGGACACATCTCGTGTGTAAATCTGAGCTTATTTCCTCTCCTGAAGTGGGATTTAGAGATGAATGCCTTGTGTTGCACAGACGGGGTCAAGTCCTTTTTTAAATATGTATTAAATTTAATATTTTAAATACGCATCGATGGACAAAAAATTGCTATGTGATATATGACAATGTAAATTTAATCTATGAATAATTTTTATCATTTCTTTAGTGTTATTTGTCTTGGCAAAATTTATGAAACAGGAGTTGGGACAGAAGTATTAAAATATGTAATAGGGAATACGTTCCTTAACGCTAGACGAAATTTTATTTAGAATGAGAATTGAAAGAAACTAATGAACGACGCCAGGTGCTTTACACATATTACCTCCCTCTTCAAAAGCAGCTCGCGAGAGTATTACTTGGCTGTGGAATTTTCTCTGGGTCAAGGACAAAGCCTGAGATTTAACCAAGATCTCTGGGATTTTGGTTTCAAGGTCCCTTCTTTCACACAGGAGGGCCTTTTCAGCATGACATGAAAAGTCCCTTCCTTTGGGACTTATCTGGGGATCCCTCACCTCCTCCCTCGTGTTAAATACATTCCTCACTTGCTTCTGGGGCTCAGACACCAAGTCTGCCATGAGGGGACAGGAAGTTATTCATTCGTCTGCAGTTATATGCAGAGGGCTGTTTCTCACCAAATTTCCCAAGTACTCCAGGCAAAAGCAGTTTCTTTGCTTGAATCCTACATAACATTGAATGTGCTCCATTATTCATTTTTACCGATTATCTTGTTAAGTCATTGTTTTTCTTGCCAAATTTCCCATGTAATGACTTCAGTACTGCCTCATTTTTATTATGCAAAACCTGGCATGAGAATGTGAACAACAAAAAAAAAGGGCCACATACTAACCCGACAAGCTCAGGGGAGGTCAGCATGGCGGCCCTACAAACTCGGAGATGGAAATAACCCTATGGGATGGTCCGAACATAAACATTTCTAACCAAAAGCAGGTCATGGCACGTCCTGGGCCTGGAGCTTTCTGGATGAAGGTCAATCTCTGCCTTAAGTGAGCCTGTCTTTTGTCTTTTTGCATGTAAGATAACATACCTTTGAAATATCAGTCATCTCTTTTTCTCCAGAACCCGCAGGGCCTACCCCACAGAGCCCCTGAGGCTATCCTGGCCCTGGCCTACCATCTCTAGATGCTGTGAATATTAATTAGTAACTCTCCTGCACCCGCCTGCGTGAAAGAAGTATGTGTCCCTCCTGTTTACTTTTTATCCAGTCCCAGAGATTTCCCGCCTTTGCTTCTCCCGCCCTTAATCGACCTCCAATGAACTCTCTTCTGTCTCCTCCTGACTCTAACCTGTGACAGAAGCCGCAGAACTGCCGTTCTCCGGAGCATTTTCTTAATCCTTGAGAAAGGACTGAGATTTTGCTTCCCAGTGATTGTCGTCAGTTTGGCTCAGATAAACTCAATAAAATTCTCTGCAGGTTTGGACGTTTCTCGCTTCGACAAGAACTTCTACTAATTTAAAGTATTTATGACTAAGTGACTAAAGGCATTTGTTTTAGGCTAACTGAAGGGCCTTTAAAATACTTTTCTACTTCTTTTTGGTTTGGTTTAAGGATCACTTAAAAATGACGAATATGTGGACAATCAAGGGGAAAATTCACTTATGTTTTTATCTTAATAGTTCTCATTTAGGATTATACAATTGCAGGATTGTGTAATTTTCAACACCACTTCGTGCTTGTGGACTTCTGATGTAAGTAGTACGATAAAAATGTAACGCAGTATGATCACTTAAGTTTCTCTGGAATACCGTAAAAAATCCTTAAGCAATAAATTCACATTCGACGAAGCATGAAAGGGATGCTAACTGAAAGGTCGAGAAGGTTTTCCCATTATACCGAAATCTTAATGGATGCGGACCACTGGCATTACAGATAAGGTCTCATTGCAGAAACCAGCGTCACAATGGCCCAGCAGAACAAGAAGAAGGGGAGCAGGAAGAGGGGACAGTCACATCCTTAAGTTTCCCTTCCCTTCTCGGCCTGACACACACAGGGCAGTATGCTAGATGCCATACTCTGGAGAAGCATCAGGGCCTCTAATCCGAAAAGCTTTGTCAGCTTTAAGGTAAATGCTGGCGAGAAGCTGCTGACAGCTTCATACTCATTTGTGGATATTCAAAAGAAAATTAAGCAATAAATTCACATTCGACGAAGCATGAAAGGGATGCTAACTGAAAGGTCGAGAAGGTTTTCCCATTATACCGAAATCTTAATGGATGCGGACCACTGGCATTACAGATAAGGTCTCATTGCAGAAACCAGAGTCACAATGGCCCAGCAGAACAAGAAGAAAGGGAGCAGGAAATGAGGACAGTCACATCCTTAAGTTTCCCTTCCCCTCCCGGCCTGACACACACAGGGCAGTCTGCTAGACGCCATACTCTGGAGAAGCATCAGGGCCTCTAAACCGAAAAGCTTTGTCAGCTTTAAGGTAAATGCTGGCGAGAAGCCGGTGACACCTTCATACTCATTTGTGGATATTCAAAAGAGAAAAGGGGTGGCCCTCTTAGAGAATCCTGTCCCCGGACTACTCGGCCGTGAGAAGCCCAGGCTACACCAAAGTGACAGGTGACGCCCCTGCCCCGGCCGGCAGCTCGTCACCAGCACCTCGTCCTTAGATTTGATAAGAGGGTGACAGCTCTTGAACAACCTGAAGGCACATTGAACTGGTAACAGACACTTCCTGGTCAGAGGATGGAACCAGAACCTCACCTGTTTGAGGCGGGGGTGACGTGCCCAGGGCGGGCCCGAGATAACACAGTGGCGTAGTGATCATTTCTGATGAAAACCACTGGAGAAGCAGGGAGCAGCTGGAGCTCTCCGAGTCGCCTCTGCTCCCCGCATTGCAGGGAACAAATCTCCACGAGAGGTCCCCCCCTGGCCCCCCAAGCTGAGAGACAAGCTATCACTAGAGTTAAGGCCTGGAGCCAGAAGGCCACACAGCGGGGCCTGCAGCATCTCCTGGGCTCACCGCCCAGGCCCAGGCCACACTCGGCTCCCTTACAAATGGGCCCTGCCTTCTTTCGTCCTGTCGATGTCTCACAAATTTATCGCCTCTTTGTCTAGAAAGTATTAAAAAGTGCCTAGTTCGGTCGCATCTTTGAGCCTCCTGTTGCGAGCTGAGCATCGTGTCGTGAGTGTGCCGGGCACGTGCATTCAGCTGGCGCTTCTCCTGGTCATCTAGTCTTGTGTCGATTTAGTGACGCTATTATTAGTCCAGCCGTGAGAACTGGAGGAGGATGGAGGAGGCGGATTCTCCCCTTCCCCAGAGGGAGGAAGGAACTTCCAAAGGTCGTAGGGGTTTATACGAAGAGTGCCAGGGTTCAGCCTGGGCTTAAAACGGGAATGAGCCTCAGGATCGCTGTGGCTTTGCGGAAGGAGAAGCTGCTTTGCTGGGATTAGGTGACTAAGAAACGGGCTGAGAAGCAGACGACAAGACTAGCGTTTCTTGCTTAATAGAGCCGTAATAGTTTTGGTTGTAAAGTACACTTTAAGACAGTTTAGATTTTCATCAATAAGCTTAAAGTTTCAGCTTTTCAGTTCGGAGGTTGAAAATCTATAGGTGAAAAATCATCGCTTCCCATTTATAGTGCATAACAAGGAATGACCCGAGGAGGACACGTTTCTACAGTCCTGAGTCACCTGGCTCCTTCGGTTCCACCTCCCAGGGCTGCCAGGGTGGCCTGACTCAAAGGCCCTTCTGAGCACTTCGCTCCCCTGCTCCGCCCCGCAGTGGCTCCGTGTCTCACAGAGTCAAGTCCAAGACTTTCGTGTCACTCGCGAAGGCCCCACACGCTCCGTCCCACCCGGCAGGTAGTGCATGCTCCTGTGAGCCTCGTCTGGGCTTCCTGCTCACGCCCGTGTGCGTCGGTTACACACGCCGTCTGCCTAGTGTCTCCCCGCGTCCTCGACTGGCTGATTCCAACCGCCCCTTCGCTTCGCGCTCAGGACCTGCCTCCTCTCCGAAGCTTTTGCGGTTTTCCATCTTGCCTTCTCTACCACATTTTATCAAAACTTATGTGCCTATCTGCTTTACCAGCTACTTTTGACCAATATTTACTTGTCAGGCATTTTTCTGGGCCCAGGGCAGAGACAGACCAGGTTCCTGGCCTTTATGATAGCAAAATGGGCTCTTGCTATTGAGTGCGCCTCCTTCGAACGCGTCTGCCGTGGACCGCTGGCTCGTGCTGCGTGGTGTCGCAGGCCCGCCCCGCCGAGGGGCTCTGCCCTTTCCTTCCCTTCCCATTGCCCTTTCGACACCGCTCAGTCAGCCTGGGCTAGAAAACTCCTCTGACTCACTGACGCCCTCTCTTCGTAGGTACTCGTCACCCCACGGCATTGTCTAGGAATGGACCAGCATTCAAAGGAAGGACGATGACGCATGGGGGACGTTCTTCTTTTTTGGGGGTACGATCGGCCTGTGCCTGCTGCTCTGGGATGCGTCGGCCCTCTCTCGTTTATCCGAGACTCTCCGGTGGGCACGTCTGCGGAAAGAGAGGCCTGAGAGGCTGTCCCGGGCCTGCTGGGCCCACGGGACAAGCCGGCTCCACAGCGAGCCAGCTCTCAGCGGCCTCCGAACCAGGGCGCCGTCAACGCTCGGTGAGGAGAGCGTAGGGGAGGCTGGACCTGGTGCCTCGTTTTAGTTCTCGTCTGTAATGATGCTGCGGACCCCGCCTCATACACGCACATGTGCTTCACATTAGAAAGGACCCTGGGCACTGGGCTGGATGGCTTTAAGCCGGCACATCCAGGATGGATGGTAGCAGGTACCCCCGAGTTGCTGCGAGGTACAAGAATGGGCGGCACAAAGGATGCTCTGCATACAGACGAGAGTTTGATGGGTTGCTGAGAGGTATAAGAGTCACGGAGAATGGGCAGCACAAAGGATGCTCTGCATACAGACGAGAGTTTGACTTCAGATCGGCCGCAGAGCTGGGCAGGGCACACAGTGCCGCCGACAAATGGCAGGACCACACAGCGGGGCCATCTGAGCGGGGCAAAGGTCAGCAGGGGAAGGGAAAGCCACAGCCACAGCACGGAGCCGAGTGGGTCTCCCCCAGTGTCCTCTGCGTGTGACACGGGCAGGAGCTGGAGGGATGTCCTTCTTCTAAGAGCTCTAGCAAGTGTCCCCACGGCCCCAGCAGCCCGAGCATTTAGGAGCAGGAGTAGATGTGACCGCGTGTGTCAGAAAGAGACACTGGGGTGTCATGTGAGGCGCCGCCTGGGGTTCGGAGGGCGGGTAGGGAGAACCATTTGAATGTGGGTGCTGCTGCCCCTAAGCCTGGAAACCCCCAAAGCAGGACATACGCATGGGCTCCTGGGAGACCGACTAGAGTTAATGTCACTTAATCCATGGGTACCTCCAAGTTGTCACTTCACATTCTTAACATTTGGAGAGGAGATGGTGGAAGGCAAAAGAAAAAGCCCTGTCTGAAAACACATTCACGTAGAGGGTGTTTCGATGAGAGAGCCGAGTGTCATAACGTGGGGTGCCGACACCCCCACGGCAGGGAGGGAGAAACCAAGGCCCAGGGTGGAGTCCAGAGTTCAAAGGGATGTGAACTATTGTGCTACAGAGAAAAAAATCCATGGCCAAAAGAGTTTGGAGACCAATCGGTTAAACAAAATCAAACAGGTTTCTTTACCGAAGGGATTCCGAAGCGCTTCAATGGGCTGAAGTACGTTGTGAACGGGGGTGATGGCAGCTCCCTACGTGACTTCCGTGAGAATTAAAGGACCTGATACTTGCAGAGAACCAGGGACGAGCATACGGTAAGTGCTCCACGCAAGCGAGCTGTTTTTGGTCCCCCTCTCCAGGAGGGGGACATAGTAGAAACCCATCGCCAGTTTATTTGGCATGGTGATGTCTCCTGTCCCCCACTGGGTGTCTCTGGACACCAGAGTCCAGTGGAGCACACTTTGGGAAAAAGTAGGCTCAGGAATGTCCCTAGCATCTTTTTCTGTGGTTGTTATTATTCTAGTAGACGACTTAATAGACACGTCCTGTCTAATATTATCAATAACAATGAGGGCAGTTGGATGAGGACTTGTGGCTGAGGGGGTCAGAGAGCCTGACGTGGGAAAGCTGAGACTCCGACTGCGGCCCGATGGCTCCAAAGCCCCTGAGCTGAACTTGAACTCCGCAGTTATAAACCCCACGAGAGCTGCCGACTGTTCCCCCCAGCCAACGCTCGCCCAGACGAGCTCGTCGACTCCGCGCTTCTCCGTGCGGCCCAGACTCACCATTTTTCTCCACTGGCACGTGGCAGCGGGGACAGGGCTTGGTGGTTTTCTTGATGGTTTCTTTGGAAGATTCTTCCCACCGAGCCTGCTCTGCTGCCTTCTCGTCCACTCTGTAGGCCTGGGGGAATAAAGACGCGGGAGTGGAAAGTCAGATCTTTACAAGGGGGTTGAAGCGTGGGTTCCTTAAGTGCTGGTGTGGGAAATCCTTGGAGAGGGACGTGCCCTCAGGCAAGAGGCTCAGACGTAAACGCACTTGACAGGTGGCGGACGGGGCTGGGCCCGCGTGGGACGTGGTTTTCTGCGCATGCGGTCTGCGCTTACGAGCTGAGAAAAGATGGCTCAGTTTTATAGCGCGAGACCTTCTCTTTTATTATTTTAAATAATTGTGATAAATAACGCCGATCGGGCGCTTAAATATGCGGGCAAGGTGATAAATGCTCCCAAACACTTCTCGTGAGATGCTTCATCTGGTGGATATGCTCGTTTATTTATTAATTTTTTCACACTGAGGATTAGATGAGTTAAACTCTTGCCCAAAGCTGATAAGTTGGAGAGTCTGTGTGACTCCAAAAGCTTTGCTTTTACACTTTCTGCTACATCATTCTTGCACCTAGAAAACGGGAGACTCCGAATGTCGCCCACAGAAGCGACAGGAACAGGGACAAGGGAATGCAGTGGATGTGACGGAGAAGGTGGCCGTGGGAACTGGGGAGAGACCGACTGTGAGCTCCGGAGCCAGCTGCCTGGGTTCGAACCTCAGCTCCCCCAAGTGGTCGGCTGTGGAAAAATGTTCATTAACTGGAAGTTCTCATTTCGTAGATGGGAATAAAAACTGCCTGATGCATTGGGGGTGTCGAGGGTGAGGTGGGTTAATTTTTTTTAAAGATTTGGAATGAACATCTGACACATAGTGTTAAGTGATAATATGAATTACCTCAGGGTCTATAAGACGGCAAGCTCTCAAAAACGTTTGCTAATATTATTCCTGTCGGAGGACTAAATTATCCCCGACTCCTTCTACACAAAGGAGGAGCCATTTCAAAGCAGATGTTTGCTCTGCACCCGTCTAATTAATCATTCGAATGCTGCAATCTCTTCCACTGGCTTCGACACTGAGTGACGTGTGCTGGGAAAGAATTGGTACATTTTTGGATTCTGTATGAGAACCTTGTGGTCAGAAATAGATTTCGAAATGTTAATCCGAACAGAATCCCTCTACCTTGGCCTTGAGAGTGTTTAAAATTTTTTCTTTTATGCTTTAAAATTAATACAGATGTGAAAATCATTTTATTAACTTATAATGGCTCTTAAAATATTCCTAGAGCTATTTTTAGGTTAAGAAACTACTGAAAATGCCTAAAAATAGAAATGTGTGAAGAAATCAAACACCGTGATACCATGAAATGCTCTAATACTCTGATATTACTCAAGTAATAATACCGATAATACTTCACATGTTTCTAACACAGATTTTACACTGACATTTCCATTATTTCAGATGATGCTCACAATAGCCTTCATACATCAGCTGGGCGAACATCAAACTTATTTTACAAATGAGGTTTCTGAGTAGCGAAAAGGCCAGGTGCCAGGTTCAAGGATGCTCACCTCATACAGAGCAGCATTACTGCCAGTCAAATGCAAGAATTTGGAAAACCAGAAAGATGGAAGCCCAACCCAGAGATGCTCCCACACAGGTTCTCACCCCAGCTTTGTGCTTTGAGGATAAAACTCTGCCCAGCCCTGTCACCTCCCAGCACGTGGCTATGCTCAGAAACTATGACCTTGGTGAGCAGTCATCCGCAGGTGACTGCAGTGAGTGAGGTGCCCAGACGAGATGTAGGATCTGCTGAGCAGAATGCTTCACCTCAAAGACGGATCCGACGTCTATCATTTCATCAACAGATTTCACATATTTTTGAGATGTTTAAGTGGTCCGGACATTAAGAATGTAGTATTATGAGGTTAACAACTGTGTTTATATCTAAGTTGCAGCATTTAAAGGTTTTTACAGTAATTAGTATTTCTGTCTCCGTTATTTCCAATAGAAAGTGAATTCTTCTGGGGCCGGATGATGTCTGCGCGCTCCTCACACAGTGTCTGGTCCCTACCAGGCACCCAGGACATTGTAGCTGCGTGAATGAATGGATGACGCACCCACAAAGGCCCTAATTTGACAGTATCTGGTATAGGACCCTGTGATGCACTCGGGGTGCAGCCCTAGGGGCTGGCGTGGGGGTGAAACCAATTTCTCTCTGTTAATCAGCTATCCCATTCACAAAGGAAACTTCTTTTATAACTCGGAGAGTGTCGCATGTCATGTGATTTGTGAATACTTCATTAGATTAAAGCAGAGTCAGTTTAACAGCCAAGAAGCAATCGCAGGGCACTGATAATGTCCTTTGGCTCAGGGACAACATAAGGGCCCCTTGAGGCTGAGAGCCCAGCGGTAGAGCTGTGGTTAGTGAGAACCACCGCAAGATTTAGTAAGCAGGTTTATATTTTAAGCACGTATAATCCCATCAGGTCAGATTCACGTGCGGTCCAAACCCTCAGCGATAACACTCGCAGCAAATATTTCTTCTGATCATATGTTCCAAGCTTTTCTTTGTAAGGTCCAGGAGCTTATAAATCTAGCGATGGTTTAAAATTGCTTACTAAGGTGTATACGTCAGAGAACTATACCATTTGACTTATTAAAAACTAATTTCAAAATGCTGCTTCTCGGCCGCGAAGCACACTGTGTGCTAAGTGCAATTTCTCCCAGGTCTATACACCGAAAAATGCTGGATAAAAAAATCTGGAAGACAATCTGGAAGAAAATCAGCTAATGCATGGCTGATCTGGTGAAGGAAGGGAAATCCTTGAGGACCAGAATAAGAAAGAGAAACTCCTGGTTAAGGGAGAGCAACCTGGTGTTTGCTCTGGGGCTATTTCCCTAGTCCTGGGCTGCGCAGGCCCTGTGAGTTCAGGCAGAGAGAACTGGGGCCAGAGTGGGGTGCAAGGTAGAGCTGAATTTTCCCATTACACACAAATGACCTGTCCTCCTGAGGGGTGACATCCTCAAGTGATGAACTAGCGGGAAAATCCTCCCAGAAGAGAGGATCGATAAAGAATTAATAAAGTATGCGCTGGTCTCGGCCTTGGTTCTATGGGGAGACAGGCCGGGGAGACAAAGTCCTCCTGAGAATCCCTAACCAGCAAGCCTCATACACAAGGCCTGTGAAAAGGACTCATACTACATAATTAGCTTTAACAAGAATCTGATCCAAAAACTCGATTTGAAATACTCCTAGGTTGGTGGTATATCCAGGAACCAGGAAGTAAAAATATCTCCTGTCACGTAAGGTACTTTAAAAAAGACTAACAAACAAAATTCCAAGAAACTTGGAATCAGGATTAAAAAGTCACATAATGTAGGAGCATACAAGCTATCATGAGTGAAAGTAGACGAAACGGGAAACTGTAGAATCTGACCAGCAAAAATCATAGATATTGGAATGATCAGATAGAGAGTACAAAATAAATATGTTTGATATGCTTAAAAAAAATTTAAAAGGTATGAAAAGTATGATAAAAGAAGAAGAGACTACGATAATTAACCAGGCAGTTTTGAAAAAGGAACAAATTTCTTCGTTTTGCTCATTTTTCTGAATACAAAATACTAATATCTAAAATGAGAAACTCAGTGGATCAGTTATACATCAAATTAGACACAATGAAGGGAGACTTTGTGAATTGGAAGTTGGAGTTGAAGAATTACTCAGACTACGGATGAGAGAGCAAAAATTGAAAACCATAACAAGGAGATTAAGAAACGGGGGGGAAAGGATGAGAAAGTACAAACTTCTCTAGAGTTCTAGAAAGAGGTAACAGAGCATAAAGGAGAAATAGTATTTGATGAGACAGTGGCAAAGAAAACAGAGTATCTGCAAAGAAGTTACAATTATTCTGACATCTGATTTCTTAACTCATGGATATTAACAGTAATACAATATCTTCAAGGTATTGAAAAAAAAACCAAAAAACACCAGCTTAGAATTCAACGTAAGCATGAAGCATGAAGAATAGGTATGAATCAAAACACTTTTGGACATAAAATACACAGTATTTCTCATCAGCGGTCCTTCACTAAAGGAACACCCCAAAAGGATATAAGTCCAAAAGGAAGACCTGAGCCTCAAGAAAAAAAATGTGAGCAAAGAAAATGGTGACGTGTGGGTAAGTCAAAGTGAATATTGACTACGTAAAACTATTAAAATAATGCTTAATTTGTTGGCTTAAAAAAATCAAGGTAGAACTAAAATATTGGACAAGAACAGCATATAAGTGAGAGAATTAAGTAGTTTTAAGGTGCTTGTATTATTTAGGTGGAGAGTATTAGACTTTGTTACACTAATATCCGTTTAAATTTCTAGAGTAACCAGTAAAAAAACAACAACAAAGTATTTTGTTTCTAAACAAGAAAAAATAGAATAAATGAAAAAAGCAAACAAACAAAAGTTAGTAAAGAAAGGAGGCAAGAAACGAAGGGCTCGAAATATAGAAAGAGATGGAAAGTACGAAATGAAACGGCAAAAATGGCGGCCAACATCTCAGTAATCGCAACCACGTTTAGTGAACTGTAACCTAGAGCGGGCCAAATCTGATCTGTTACTTGTACTGTAAATAAAGTTTTATTGGAACATAGCCACGTTCATTCATTTACATATCGTCTCTGGCTACTGATGGAATTCAGCTGCGTGTAGTTTCCTGGCTGTCGACTGGGGTCATTCTCAGCTTCTAGGGGCTGCCCGCCTGCCCTGCCTCGTGGCTCCTTCACCAACAACGGCAGTGGTGGACGAAGTCCTTCTCAGGCTTGGATCGATCCTGCCTCTTCTTCTGCCCCATTTCTCTGTCTTGACACGGGAAAGGTTCTCTGCTTTTGAGGGCTTGTGTGATTAGATTGCACCCACAGGATTATCCATCCTGGATAATCACCGCTTAATCACATTTGCAAAGTCCCTTCTGCTAGGTAAGGTGACATATGCAAGGGGCCGGGGTGCGGGCATCTATGGAGGGTCGTCACTCAACCCCCCACACCTGCCCCTGATCAGGAGCGGGGTCCTTAACTTTTCT